ATCTTTTTTTGAAAAAAGTATGATTAACTTTGAACTTTGAACTTAAGATTTAGAAATTTAAGTTCGTAACTTCATATATAACTTAAAAGTTCGAACTTTGCAGTTGAATTCAGAATGTCAGAGTCTTCAGACTGGCAGCACTGTCACAGTCTGTCAGTGCTCTCTCTCTCTCTCTCTCTCTCTCTCTCTCTCTCTCTCTCTCTCTCTCTCTCTCTCTCTCTCTCTTCCCCCCCAACGGGCAGCAGCGGCGGGTGCCACGTTGAAACGGCCACTTTGAAATTGCTCGGGCCTGTGCGAAACCCGCCACCCCAAAAACCTGCAGCGTCTTGTGTCCGGACCTCTAGGCCCTGTCCGATGGGATGAAAAGACACTGAAAATCACCCTGTTATTTTTCGAGGGGCGGCCAGGACCCAATAATCGTCCTGGGTCACCCTTTTTTTTTTCTTTTTTTTTTAGCCCCAGGGGCCTCCATCCAGACACAAGGACCGGACACCGGACACCAGACTGTCTGGAACCCGGTCCGGACGTCCAGACGGTTCCCATGATAATAAGACATACAAATTTCTACTCAACTAGGGGTCAGACACTTCTGTCCTGCAATTCTTCCAAATGAATGATTCCCGGACATAGGACCTCATTATACATAAATTAATACCTTCCAGTTCCGGGGAAGGTTCCATTCCTAGCAACGGGCTTGGCCAGAGAATGGTATCATAGATTTCGAGGCAGCAGAGCCACCCAAATCTGCCCTGCAATGACTTGCTGTAGCGGACCCACCAGGTATGGTGCTCCGCTAGTGGTAGAGATGGAGATGGAGGAAGAAGGGGGAGCAAGATGACGCACAACGCAACTCCCACGCAGGACTCCAACGCACGTACTCCAGAAATGTGCAAGTGAAGAATGAGCCTGAAAACAGACAATGGCTGGGGTATACCCCAGCGGACTGACGGGACTGGATTGGACTGGCTGGTACCGACAGAGGTACAGGCCTGGACTGGCCTACCCCGAATACAACACAGGCCTGTGAGAACAGGCCAAGGGGCTGGTCTCAAAGGCCAACCCGAGGTCCGCTACACGATCCTCGGCCTGTGATGGATCGCCTAGATACAAACATGCTTCCGCCAAGAAGCGAAACTCTACCAAAGAAAAGAAAACCTGAGTAGCCTAGGATGCGGAGCAAGCTCCATGCTGAGTCCATGCGATGCGACCTAGGATATAAAATGTCACAAAACAACAATGTCACAGCTAACAGCCTAAGCGAAAGCAGAAGCAACTAACTAACATATATGTCATAGGAAAGCAAAAGCAACTAACTAGCATACATGTCCTAGGAAAGCAGAAAGTAGTGACAACTAGATCCTAGAATGTTGGAGGCACTAGCCTCAGTCTGGTAACAACTGACTAGTGTATAAGTCCTAAGAACAGCAAAAGCAGAACAACTAAATTCTAGAAATGTCGGAGGCAGTAGCCTCGGTCTGAGAGCAACAAAGCAATCAACAAGACAACCATATGTCACATGAGAAGTGTGTCGCAAACCAAAGGGTGGGATGGTCTCTGAGGGTGGCGAATGCAGCCTAGGGGTCGAAAACTCCTAAGGGCATCCACACATAGTGACAGGGGAAAACACATGTCATCAGGCTCAATGAGGGTAGGAAACTGGGAGCGAACAGAACCAATGACCCTAATAGATAGACCATCAGGGCGGGCAATGCTCAACTAAGGGGTGACCGCTATGGAGGGTCGACCATGCAAGRGAACAAGGGAGCCTGGTATACTGGGCGCACCTAGATGAAGCATGTGGGGCTGCCTAACTAGGGGGTGAGGGCCGGCGAAGGGTAGAAAGATAATGGGTAAGGGAATCATGCAAATGACTCCTAAAGTGAGGGAAGTCAGAGCTAGATCCGTAAGATGGGAAGCCAGGGCAACGCTACGGTCCCGATGCCTATGCGTATACCAAGGGAGAGCCCAACTCGGAGGAACCCGGCTAAAGGGAGACCATCATGCGACACAAGCAGGGTACTGTACATGGTAAAGTGGTAAGAGAGTGGCGACGTCTGAAGTAGGCAGAGCTGATCATGACGAAGTCCATGAAGCTGCCAATGACGTCCACGATGAGAAGTCCGGAATGCCGTCGAGGAAGATCCGCAACGTCGACGAGCCGAAGTAGCAAAACTGGAGTGCTCCTGAGAAGTCAAGGACGTGGGAAGGTAAGTGAGAGTCAATCGTCGTATCGAGTAGGACGACGACGGGTGCGCTGTGGACGCTCAGAAGCATCCGGCTGCTGCTGAAGGTCTGCCTCAGATGGAGAAGGTTCAACTTCAGCGGTCTCCTCAGCCGAGGGAGAAGGAGGAGGGTCAGTGGGCTGAGGAGGAGCAGTGAACCCAGCACGACGAGCACGGTCATACGCACGCACCAACATGCGAGCGTGCTGCAAGTGCTCGAGGGGCACCCAGGTAGCCTCCTCATCAGGGTAACCCGTCCAACGTACGAGATACTTGACGTGGGGAGGGTTGTCGTCGATGACTCGGCGACCGATGATGTCTGAAACGAAGAACTCCTCGTGGTCGTCCACCATGAGGGGTGGAGGGCGCTCGTATGGTCGTCCAGCGAAACGCTCAGACGGTCTGCGGTAAGGACGCAGTAACGAGACGTGGTAGACATCATGCACACAAGTCTGGCGTAAGTAGTCGGGCAGCTTCACACGAAAGCTGACCGGGCTAGATGCCGTATCAGAACCGACGGCCTGGAGGATGCGGCATGGGCCAAAGAAGTGACGCCGAAACTTGCGAAGCGTGTCCGCTTCGAGCTGTAAGTGGCGGGCGTCGATAAGCACATCATCACCAACTTTGAATGGATGGTCCATCCTCGATCGGTTCGCACGTGCTGCCATGGGAGTCTGGGAAGCGACTATGTGCTCATGTGCGGTCTTCATGATCGACGTCATGTGTGCAACCCAATCATCCAGCGCGGGACAACTCGTGTCGGGGTGCATCTGTGACGGTAGAAGAAAGTCCGCGAAACACGAGGGTGATAGCCGAGGTCGCAATAGTAAGGCGACATCCCCGTGGCAGGCGAGACGACGTGGTTGTAGGCTATCTCCGCGTGGGCAAGATGAAGATCCCACTGCTGGTCGACACGAACAATCTTTCGAAAAATATCTCTGAGAGTCCTGTTCGTGATCTCGGTCTAACCATCAGTCTGAGGATGGTAAGACGAGGAGAAGCGGAGCTGAGTGCCGTATACCTCGTGGAGCCGTCGCCAGAATCGGCTGGTAAAGTGCGGGTCACGGTCAGATATGATGCTCAGAGGTAAGTCGTGGTCACGCACGACTCGGTCAAACACGATGTCGGCGACCTCACGTGCACTGATGGCATAGCGGCACGGAACAAAGCGTGCACGCTTCGTGAAGCGGTCGACGACGACCAGGATAGCATCATGACCGCGAGGGGTCGGAGGACGAAGAGGAATGATAAAGTCCATCGAGATGGACTGCTAACGACACTCAGGGATAGGAAGAGGCTGGAGCAAACCATAAGGCAGGTGGTTCGCACTGTTCACCTCCTGACAGGTGGGACACTCGGCGACGTAGTCCTTCACAAAGTCCTTGCGCTTCGGCTAGACGTACAGGCGGTTCACACGAGCCAACGTCTTGTGGAAGCCCATATGACCGGCGACTGCCTGGTCATGGAACTCAGCTACTGCTCGGACATGTAGCTGTCCAGTGGAGGGAACGCAAATACAGGGCTCTCTGGTGCCCTGTGAACCGTGCCAGTACACAAGACCGTTGTCCCCGAGAGAGTAGTTCGGGACGGTCTTGCCACTCCGAAGGGTCGCGTGGATGTCGCGATAGTCGGGGCAGTGGCAGTACTGAGTGCGAAACTCGTCGATCACCGAGTGGTGGACGGTGGTGACCGAGATGGAAGAGAGCTGGAGGTGCTGCTGGTCGTGGTCAGGGCGCCGGGATAGGGCATCTGCGACCCAATTAGTCTCACCCTTGATATGCTCAGTGGTGAAACTAAAHTCGGATAGGTCGCGCCACCAGCGAGCCTGTCGAGGAGTAAGCTTCGGCTTAGTCAGAAAAACCTGGACAACAGAGTTGTTCGTGCGCACCGTGAATGGTGCCTCGTGCAGGTAGTGCTGCCAGTGCCGAGCGGCATAAACTACTGCAAGAACCTCACGTTCATCAGCAGTGTAGTTTATCTCGGCGGGCAGGAGCTGACGGGAGTAAAAGGCTATCGGACAATCACCTGAGCGAGTCTCGACAGTGCCGTCCTCGACGATGGTAGGAGAATAGTCAATAGGAGGCTCGTCAGTAGCTGGACGAGTAGGCGTCAGTCGGGAAGTAGTGGTAGGGGTAGGTGGTGGGAAGCGAGGGGTACGAGGATGAGAGGAATCAGGAGAGGAGGGGAAGACCTGAGAAAGCACTGCTCCTACAGCAAAGTCTGACGCATCGGTGGTAAGGATAAAAGGGCGATCAAAATCGGGTAGGTGAAGAACCGATGTAAATGTCACCACCTTCTTGAGGGCGCGGAAGGCGTCCTCGTGGAGGGGTGTCTAAGCCTAGGGTGGGTTCTTCCGGAGGAGGGTGGAGGTAAGGACGTAGGAATACCTAGCGTATCCCCGGATGAAGTTACTATAGTAGCTGGTCAGGCCTAGGAAGCTGCGAAGCTGCTTGGCGGATGTGGGGGCGGGCCACTCCGCAATAGCAGTGATCTTCGCGTCATCCATGTGGAGACCCTGGTCAGACACGTAGTGTCCTAAGAAATCTACTTTGTGCTGGGCAAAGCGGCACTTGCTCAGCTTGGCGTAGAAGCCATGTCTGTGCAAGCGGTCAAGGACGTCGCGGAGGTGTCTGAGGTGCTCCTCAAGGGTACGACTGTAGACCAGGATATCGTCGAGGTAGACGAGAACGTACTGCTCCAGGATGTCCCTGAAGATGTCGTTCATCGCCCTCTGAAAGGTAACGGGAGCATTACTGAGGCCGAATGACATTACCGTGAACTCGTAGTGGCCAAATCGCGATCAGAATGCGGTCTTCGGCTGGTTGGCTGCAGCGACGTGGATCTAATGGTAACCACTACGAAGATAAATCTTCGTAAAGAAGCGGTTGCCTGCTAGGCGGTCGAACAACTCATCGGAACGAGGCATGAGGTAGCTGTTCTTAACCGTGTAGCAGTTGAGACTGCGATAGTCGATGCAGAGACAGAGAGTTCCGTTCGCTTTGCGAGCAAAGAGGACGGGTGCACCCCACGGGGAGTTGCTGGGTTTAATGAAACCCAGTCTCAAGAGCTCCTCAAACTGACGCTCGAGTTCGGTGGCCTCGGGGATCGAGAGTCTATAGGGTGCCTGGTGGTGAACACGATAGTCAGGCACAAGCTGAATGGAGTGCTCGACGTCACGCATTGGTGGGATGCCGGCGTACGAGAACGATGATGGGAAAACGTCGTGGTACTCTCGGATGAGGTCACGAACTGCGGGCTCCAAGTCAGCCGTATATCGTGCRAGTTCCTCAGCGTCAGCGTCAGCGCRCGACGGCGGGGTGGACTCGACGGACRGCGGAGGGACGGARSTAGAGATGGGAGCCATGGAGATAGAGGGAGGATCTGGCTCCAGAGGGATGAGCTCGGCGTCGAGACAGGGTGGATCATAGTGTAAGAGATCCGTCACGTCCACCATAAAGACGGTGACGTCGTCTTGTCGAATGAAGTGAGCGAACTGCCGAGGCAAGGTGACCGTGATAATGGGAGATGGTGTGGGCACTGAAGGCTCCGGGGGAGGAGGATCGGGGCGTGGTGTCGCCGTGGTACCTATGAAAGGTACGCGATACGTCTGTCCACACTTCGTTTTGAGAACGAGAGTGTTGATCGCCCAATCGGCCTCAGTGCTGCGGAACCGACGAGACCACGGAGTGCCGAGAATGAAGTCGTACCCCGTCTCCATCACATCGAAATGTGCAGAGGAGCGGTGGCGATGAGACGCCGGGAAGTGATCAGTCGGCTCGAGAGTGAGGAAGAAGGGGAGGTCGGTGACCGTGTAATCGAAGAAGCACTGGGTCTTGTCATCCCCTAGGGTAACGGAAATGGGAGTCGGAGACCCTGTCGTGGGTAAGCGAGCTTCCTTCACCACGCGTGGGTGAATGAAGTCGCCCTGAGAACCGGAATCCCACAGCGCTGAGTACACCCTCGTCGAGGTCCCGAGTCATACTGGGATAATCGGGAGGGTGCGATCAGGGTCAGAGAGGATGGCGAGAAGGCAACGCAGTGCAGCGACATGGAGGGTGAGTTGCTCCTGACGAGCCTAGAGCATGCTCAAGTCCAGAAGAGAGGACACAACGTCCTCGCGAGTAACAAGCTGCTCGCTGCAACGGGCTGAGCGAATGGCTCGACGCGTCGGTAGTCGTGGCGGGGAAGGAGGGGAGACGGTGGTCTGCGGAGACGCAGACGGTACTGCGACAGAGGGATGAGTACACTCTGTCGAGTCCTGCGATACCTCAACTCCAGTAGCGAGAAGGGCGAACCGCGACGGAGATGTCGGGAAACCCACTACTGAGGAGGGTGCAGGTGTACACTGCACCGTGGCTAGGAGGTGCCGCGGGGACGTTAGGCGCCGGGGGGGGACTGAGCACGACGCTGACGATAAAGGTCAGCGTTGTGGCGGTCGAGAACGGTAGTGTAAGGGCACCGCGAGGAGGTATGACCGTCCAAGCGGCAGCGCAAACACCCACGCCGGCCCAGAATAGCCGCGCGGTCCTCAGCGGAAAGGACACCACGAGGACGGACGAAGCCCTGATGGAGGTCCTCCTGAGGGACCTCGGGGGGCGACGCGCCAGTGTGACCGGGGCGGCTGCGTGCCCGAGAGAGGGCGGAGAGCGTGAGCTGAAGGCGCTCAGCTGCAGGGAGGGTAGAGTCCTCCAAGTAATAGTGGACGGCCTCGCAGAGATCGAGATCATCGCTGTGGTCGCCCTCAAGTGACAGTAGGGCAACAGCGTCCTGCTCACCATACTCCAGCGCGCTGAAGCGGCGCGAGAAGTGGCGGCCCTGCTGCGTGGAACGGCGGGGGCGACCGCGAAAAGGGGAACGGTGCTGGGAAGTGTCGTGAGAGGAGGAGGAGGCGTAGCCCGTGCGTTGGGGCTGGGAGGAGGAGGCGGGGTGAAGACGGGCTCGCATCCGCTGGTGGCCCCTGGCGGCCTCGTAAGCCTGTGGGGCCGATGTGAACTCGCCATAGCTCGGAGCGGTACTCGAGCGGAAGGCTGGCCAAGAAACGATCGATAAGGGCAGCCTCGGGAAGGAACGCCACGTCGCAAACGAGGCGGGCATCCTGAAAGACCTGGATGTGGCGATCCAGGCCGGCAGCGCCACCAGAGCCGGACCATGGTGTAGTGACGACACGCTCGAAGGCGTCAGTCACGTCGTATCGGGCTCCGAAGCAATCCTCGAGGAACGCCTGGAAATCCACGAAGGTCGGAGTCCGACCCTCACGAAGGGAGTAGGCATAGAAATCCTCCCAGGCCTCGAAAGGACCGCCATGCAGGTGCGTGGAGAGGTGACCCACCCACGTCTCGGGTGTGGCGCCCATGAGCTGGAGTGTGCGGATGGCAGACTGCAGCCACCGAGACACACGTATGCCTGTACTGTCATACAAGGCAATGTCCGACAAGCGGATGAGTGAGGCGCCAGCGTTTTGGCGGCGAGGGGATCGAGGAGCGGAGGCCTGTGCCACGGCTGAGTAAGTCGGCGCAGGTCCTGGAGAAAGGGGCGCAGCTGACTGTGCGCCCGGGCCGCATGGGGGAGCGGCGGTGGCAACAGCGGCAGGCTGCGAGGGTGCTGCGGTAGAAGAGGTCGCAGCAACCACGAGAGTATGAAAAAGGTAGGAAGGAGTTGTATAGGGTGCAGGGCGCGGAAAGTGAGCCTGCATGGGAGGAAGGGTAGAAAAGGTAGGGGGTGCGCCCGAAGGCGCGGCCACCTGTGAGGGTGGGGGTGGCTGAAGGCGTAAGAGGGCGAGGTCGGCCCGGAGCTGGGCAATCTCGTCCGCGAGACCTCGAACGTAGGTCGATCGAGGGGTGGCAGGAGGAAGAGTGGAGGGGGTGGACGCACAAGCGGCGCGGGGCATTCCACAGGAGGGAGAGCCAGGTGGCGCTGCGATCGTGCGAAGGGGAGGGAGAAGTCGGGCATCCGAAAAAGTTGAGACCATGGTAGCGGGTTGTTGTACCGTGGCCGTAGTGACCGGGATCTGGGCGGGTGCGCCGGTAGACTGAGGGGGGGTCTGGCTTGTGGCGGCCATCGTGCTAGGGGCGTGGACAGTCACCAAGATGGTCGGGTCAGGGGCAATGGAGGAGGAAGTTCCACCGTGGCCACCCTGTCGGGGGATGGGGGACCCGGACTGGGAGTCAGGAGATGACGGACACGCAGCGTCCTGGAGTTGCTGCATGCTGGCGGCAAGGGTCGCCACCTGCGCCTGTAAGGGCGCGAGGGTCGCGAGTTGCGCCTGGATGGGCGCAAGGGTCGCGAGTTGCGCTTGGATGGGCGCAAGGAGGGAGGTGAGGAGGGTGTGTAGATCCCCCAGGGGTTGATGGCCCTCGTCCGTCGGCACGGGTGTGGAGCCTGATGCCGTGGTCCTCGCCATGTCGGCGGCGTGTGACGCACCGTCGGCCATGGGGAGATGATGGACCGGACTGGAGGGGGCCATAAGAGGTCTGCGTGAGCGGAGGGCGTAGGGGGAAGTCCGCGGTAGAGAGCGGGAAACGACGCTAGCAAGGCTAACACGGGCGCCGTCAAAGGGGGAGGGGTGGTTCGGGTCCAGGGTGCCCGAAGAGGACGGGGAAATAGGGGGGGTTTGAGAAACCCTAAACCCTACAAAAACCCTAAGAAAACCCTAACCGAGGTTTAAGTGGTTAGGGTAGGGTACCGGTGAACTAATCAAGAAAGTAAAATAGCAAGCATAGGGGAGGGGGACGGGAGAAAAATCAATAAACAGCAAGATTTCGAGAGAAAATAAAAATAAATAAATAAATAAATAAATAATAAAAATAATTAAAGAAATAAGTTAAGAGATGTGAAGGGAAACAATATTAATTTTTTTGAAATTTTCGGCAGCATTTCCCTACCCCCCACGGGGTCAAGAATGTGCCAAGGGAAAAGGAGAGACCAAGGTGAGCACACTAGGGATGCCGCAAATAATATAAAAAAAAAAAAAATTCAGA